TTCCTGTGATTTTATCAAGATTTATCTTATCCACGTTTTCATTGTGGATCTACATGATATATATATATATATATATATATATATATATATATATATATATATATATATATATATATATATATATATATATATATATATATATATATATATATATATGCAAGTAAATCACTGTAGGTGCGCGTGATCATATATAACAAGGAAACATTCCCAACTTTCATGTAATTCTTTCAGGGGTGAGTATATATATATATATATATATATATATATATATATATATATATATATATATATATATATATATATATATATATATTTATATATATATATAAATATATATATATATATATATATATATGTATATATATATATAAACAAGCGAAATCGCCTCCCTCGCTAGGTTCAAGATTTCTTAAGAGCATTATGTAAGTTCCAATCTTGAGAGTGAGGTGGTGAGGAGGCATTCCAGCGGGCTCCAAAGAAGTAAGGAATTCTGCGTGGTACTGGACTGCTTGGTCCTGGTCGATTACTGTATCAACAGATTTGAATGAGGTCTCACTGCCTGGAAGCTGTCTGAGTAGAGTTATGTTGATTTCAGCCACAGTTTCATTCTTTGGTACCAGAATTGCGCGTTCACGCAGCTACTTGTGATCCTTGTAGTGGTGGATAATGTTTGGGTAGACCAAGTTAGTGAGCTCAGTTGAGGACTTTACAACATTTCCACATCCTTTTCAACCTCTGTGTGGTTTAATGTGTCGGATCGGGTTGGTTGGGTTTTTTTGAGATCCCCACATGACACTTGCTATCCATTGCCAAGTTTGGTCCGGGAGGCTCATTCGCTAGGCCACGATAGGACGCTACCCTCTACATATAACACCACCCATGATCACTACATATAACATCATCCGTCATCACTACATATAACACCATTCATCATCACTACATACAACATCATCCATCATCACTACATATAACACCATCCATCATCACTACATATAACACCATCCATCATCACTACATATAACACCATCCATCATCACTACATATAACACCATCCATCATCACTACATATAACACCATCCATCATCACTACTGATCGGTAAAGTAGTTTCCGAGAATCTCGTGTGGAGACCATAAAACATTTCCACATCTTTTTCAACCTCTGTGTGGTTTAACGGGTCGGGTTGGGTTGGTTGGAGTTTTTTTTTGAGATCCCCACAGGGCACTTGCTATCCATGCCAAGTTTGGTCTGGGCGGTTCATTCGCTAGGCCACGGTAAGACGCCACCCTCCGGGAGGCTCCACATTGTCTCACTGTTCAGTCCCCAAAACTTCTTCTTCCATCATTAGTTCATTAACGGTGTATGTAAGTTCCACTACAACGGTACAGCAAAGTATATTTTTTAGCATTAAGCTGTTATTATTTTATTGTCTAATCATCACTACATATAACACCACCCATCATCACTACATTAACATCATCCATCATCACTACATATAACATCATCCATCATCACTACATATAACATCATCCATCATCACCACATATAACACCATCCATCATCACTACATATAACACCATCCATCATCACTACTGATCGGTAAAGTAGGTTCCGAGATTCTCGTGCCGACACACAAACACATACTTCTTTGTTTTATATATATATATATATATATATATATATATATATATATATATATATATATATATATATATCACGAGCAAGGAATCGAAGGTCGAGGGTTCGATTCCTTGCTGGTGAGGTCGTTGATTATATGTTCAAAGTCCGCGTGTTATATGGACTAAAAATGAAGTTTTTATATATATATATATATATATATATATATATATATATATATATATATATATATATATATATATATACATATATATATATATATATATATATATATATATATATATATATATATATATATATATATATATATATATATATATAACTTGCAATAACTCAAAGAACATCCACTACAGAAAGCCATAATTGCAATCGCCACAGCGTCCCCTTGAAGAGCAATTAAAAAAAACGAACATACAAATTTAAGGTATCCAATTCCCTTATATAGAATTCATATGCTAATCTTATGATTCTCATCCTGTATACGTAGATGTTTAAGAACTTATTGCGCAGTAAAGACAAAATATGAAGAATTTGCGCAGATACAGTCCGAAATCAGGAAAGTGAATGCGATAAAAAAAAAAACATTATATGGTGTTACAAATCTCCAATGAGATCCCCCATCGCATCCTTTACGTGTTTGCAATAACTGATTCACTTCCCTATATCTTAACAGCGGAGTTGCAACATGATGGCGAGTTGGAGATTCGACTCTTCCATTTTTACGATAAAAAATTTATTTATTTTTCGCCTATGAAGTACCTAGAGACGTGAAATTACTGCCGTATGATCAGTATTCTGCATGTTTTTACCCTGTAATTGCCCTCTTCTTTCATTCCTACCCACGAACGGGTAATTTCTGATTTTAAGGTTGAAAAATAAATAAAACAGGAAAAAGTTTTGCGTATTGTTTTTTCATTCAAATGTTGATGGACTTATATTACTAACCGTGTTACACGCTTAAAGGCCTTCGTTGTGAAAGACAGTAATAATATTATAACAACAAAATATTCTCCACTATTATCGATTTTTCATATGTCTAATTATACAAGAATTGGTAAACAAATGTGTAAAATTAATAATTGATACACACATACACCAAACGCAAAGAGTATAGCTAAGTTATCATTCAAAAAGAATCGTTTTCTTTGATCATTTCAGCTTGATGGAGTCATTTTGTAGGATAGACGTACGTATTTTTACTTATTGTACATCAGTGGTAATCTACCTAATTTACCAAATGGCCACCCTCTTTGTAAAAGAGATAAGAGACTTGAAATGTGCCTGGAGAGGTAGAAAGGGAGAGGGTGAAGGTGAAAAGGGAGTAAGATGAGGGGAAGAGGGAAACGAAGAGGGAGTACAAAAGAAAGTATCACGATGAAAAGACACACAAGAGACATCGATTTAACGTGACAGTGACTGAAATGAGAAAGTTACAGTGTGACAGTAGTGAAGAGTCTGGGACAGTTCAGCAAGATTTAATGAAACATTGGTAAGAATGCGTGAGAAAGGAGAGCAACACACGACTGACAGGGGAATGACATTACTAAGACGGAAGACTGCCAGGAGAGATGACAGTACTAGTGTAATGACCACGGTCGTACATGTTAGTTAACAAAAGATCAAACGATTCATATGACGCTCAATAGCCCATAAGATATGTAGCTGTAACTACTTTATTAAGTTCCCCAGCTGCGGCGTCCATTTTCTTATCGCTTCAGGACGCCCGAGTCCTCCGTTTTGTCTAAATCCTGGAGTGCACCCAAGACTCCGTTATTCCTTAGTATCTCGGGGCACGACACGAAATTTGAAATTGCAACTGTAGTTGTTTTTGTTAAGACAAATGAAACATTCAAGATACCTTGTGAGTGATATTTACAGCTCTAACTGTATTTATTGTGAGTAAAAATTGTCAAATAACTGAGTGCTGAGTCTGCCAGTAAGAAGGGCATATCCTAATATCGCCCTTTGTGATAGCCATGAGTTTCCAAGTACAACTGAAATTAGTTCATTTAATGCCCAAACCCCAGAGAATATGATGTTTGTAGTTTAATTATTGTCAGTTATCTATTTAATAAAATAATTAATCTCCTGAAAGGAGTCTGTCAGTCAGCTTATCTCAAAGATCTCAACGTATCCCTATAGACTCAGTAGAGAGTTCCTTGTCTGAAATTTCGCTCATGTTGTTATATATATATATATAAAACACTCAGATACGCTAACATTAAACTCAGCCACCATATCGAGCACTCATACTAACACACGTTAAGTAACCACTTCATTACTTATATTAATACATCACGTATCTACGTATATATACAATACAGCGCACTCTCTAGTCAACCTTGAATAAAAAACTGTTCTAGTGTCGGTTCTTCGCTCCTGTCTATATATAAACTGCTAGGTGGTGAATGCCAGTGCTGCTGCTGCACCGAGAATGCTTGTAATATACTGTATAATTATTGCATATAATGAAAACATAATTATAATCCCTCCTGTGAATAAGGAGTATATTTCATAGAGCTTATCACTACCAGGGCTGGAATTCAAGATTGTATAAAGAGAGTATTGATTATGTGTTGACTGCTACACTACTCGCCAGTGTTGCCAGATTAGTGGGATCACCTTTGGGCTTACAATTCTCCTGCACATCTTGAGACGTATAATTGCCACCAGTAATCACAAGATTGGATTTAACCCCCAAAAGAAAAAAAATATGAATTGTACATTTCCTCATAGCTCTTAATTACATATAATACAGCGTTCCTGAGACAGGTTTGTCTTTATTACCCTCTGGAATTTTTTAAACTTGCTTATCTAACATTCAAACACTGTGTACTGTTGGCCTATATACATTATAATTCCCTTAGCAAGACCTGTGACGTTAAATCTTCCTGCCAAGTGCTATTTCCTACTCTTGTTGTGGTTCTTCTGAACATGGAGTTACAGAAAATTATATTTACGTCATTGGGAATTTTATTGCCTGTTTAAACTTGCAGAACAATTGGCTGTAATGTCCCTGGATCATGAATATACATGTCACTTTAAATATTCGGACTATCATTTGACTGGAAGGCGATAGCAATGATGAAGCATCCTGAGAAATAACGTCATTCTAAACAAGTTGAAAATTCGATAAATTTTTAGATGAAAATCTTAACTTATGACTTAAAACATTATTTTCTCATCACATCTTCTAAGTAGTCTATTTGTTTTTCTTCATAATGTCTAGGTAATATTTTTGGCCGAAAAAATTTGGTCTCACCGGTGAGTTGCGGCAACACTGATAGGCAAGAGTGAGTGGTGGTACGTAACACCCCCCCAAGTAGCCACAGACGCGACTCCCAAAACTTGATTTCAGTTCAACGTCAGGCGTAGTTCGGGTAGGACGCACTCGACTTCACTCACTTGACATATTGGAGCTAACGAAGGTCAGTGAGACCAACACAAACTAGGTAAGTAGTGACAGAATGTAGTGCGTATTGTGTACTGGCGGCAGTGTTTAGATTTTCTGTAACTGAAGCGATAATATTTACAGTGTGTTCATGACTTTGTATAATGTCCACAGTTAAATTGATGCGTGTTGTATTGTGTCTACTTCTTATTAAGTTGAAGCTTTTTATTAAATAGAAGCAGTTCATATAGGTGTTCTGGCTGCATTAATCGATAAAAAACAATACTGTTACTACTTTTCTTTTACGGGGATTAGCCCACCCGGGGACATCACTGACCAACATCAGGGCCTGGGGGAGTGGGCGAAAAATGTAATGATAATAATAATAATAATATCCTGGAAATATGTGTCCATCCATGTGTCATTTGGCTGATCACTCCCTACACTTTCTAGTTGCCAAAAATTATAATTCAATTTCAATTGTTTATTCCTTGATAGAGGAAGCGGGATCCTAGTGCTGTCACCAGGTACCCCTGTACAATAAAACCAGAAGCATCTGGCAAGTGTGACAAGTATATACAGTATAAATATTATAAAGTTGTGTTCTTTGAAGAATTGGCGAGGCCAAGTTAGAAATTGAGAGGGCCATGCTGGAGAAACCTGAAATTAGGAAAGAGCCAAGCGGCTAAAAAAGGAGACAAGAGTAAAGCCAGTGTCTGACGGAAATCAAGAGTAGAAATGGAGTAGGGAGACAAAGCTTTTGGTGAAGAAGGCCACCAAGGATACAAGCGACAGAATGAGAATAACAGCTAAGTGTACTAATCATTCAGTCCTTGATAGATGAACTGGATGTTAGTACAGCCAGGGAGGGATGACAAGCGGGAGGTATAAAAACTTAATTGTTGTGACTCACAGGTAAGGTATATGGAGAGGGGGCTTTGTAAAAAAAACAAAAAATAGGATGAGGTGTGCTGTCAGGAGCTGTGGGGGACATATCGATAGGATGAGAAGATCTTGTCTGTATCGGGAACAAAAATCGGCTATCTGCCTCAGCAGAGAGGCAAATGAGGCCATTGGTGTAGGAGCGAGAGCTCTGGATAAGTTCAAGGCAGCCATAGAACGTATTAGGACTATGTGAGGGATCCTATCATATGCGGTGTCCCGTCGAAGGAGAGTTGGTAGTGAATGGTTGTTGAGTGCAGTTGTTAACGATCGGCTCTGACAGATATTGCAAGTCATTATCAGTCCTATCTATTGACAATTGGGACAATTCTATGGCAGAAGGACCATAGGGAGATGGGGTGCACCTGTCTAGGGATGGAGAGCAAATTTCTGGCTGGGGTTTTAGAGGCAGTTCAAAAGATATCAAGTCTTTAA